CAGCCTTGGGTGGGGTGGGGGGTGGCATTCAGTACTCATTTTCTGTGTGTCTGACATCGCTGTCATGCTGCATTATTCATCCCCCTTAGCGCTGCGGTGTGTAGTGTCTGGTGCAGCTACAGCCACAGGGACTCGCCGCGTAGCCATGCGTATTTCTGTCACTGTTGGTTTGCCGGTATATAGACATGTATTCCCCATACACCTAGAATGTGATATTAGGTTATCTAACTGTCGAGGATCCTAGAGAGTATAAAACGCGCTAAAATGCTTTAACTGACAAATTGAACTACGCTCTTGCCTGCTTTTTTGCAAGGATCAGTGTGATGTCCAATATTATGAAACGATTGTACTTAATGATGAAATGATATCTGATAAAGGCGTGGAAACCAGAACTGGTTATTATGCCACAAACTCAGCATGCTTTCCACAACGGCTGTCTTGTGTCGTGAGTTTCATGGGAATTTGCGAATAATTAGAAGTGAAGTGTAGCGTGAAGGGGTGAAGGGTGATGGGGCGGCTGAACCCCACATTAGCAATGCAGAATCCCGGTATGAATATGCAGAGGATCACGCCATGTGGCCCTCAGCTCCTGTTTTACCAAGTAAACAAAAACGACGGCGTATAGAAACGCAACGCAGGAAACAACCTCGAGGACCTCGTCCTTTTGCGTTTGTTGCCTTAAGAAAATGTTAAAACCGAGTCATATTTATGCCCCCTGCGCACGCCTGTTGCTCACCTGTACACCTGTCCTCGTCTCATTTCACCACATCATGGAACTCGTGCCATCATGGAACAAGCGCCTCGTTAACGCTTCGCCCCCCCCCCCCATCCCCCCCCCCCCCCCCCCCCCCCCCCCCCCCCCCCCCCCCCCCCCCCCCCCCCCGGCTACTGCCATGCGTGTGCATGTGTGTGCTAAAACCACATGACGCAGTCCCTGTCGTTGCCACAGTGGTGTTCGGCCTGCTGTGTGGCGGCGTGTACGCGGTGTGGCGCCACTACCGGCGCCACTCCACCAAGAGCATGAACTTCGACAACCCCGTCTACCGCAAGACCACCGGCGAGGGCGAAGAGGACGAGATCCACATCGGCCGCGCTGACGCCATGGCGCACCACGCGCACGGACACGGACCGCAGCAGCAGCAGCAGCACCACCACCACCACCACCACCACCATCCCTACCCGCCCGGGGTGGGCATGGGCGTCATGGCGACGGGGGGGAGCGGCGGCGGCGGCGGCAGCGGCGGAGGAAGTGTGGGCGGGGGCAGCGGAGGTACCTGCCCGCAGTTCATCGCCCTGCCCCTCGGGGGAGGCATGGCCGACCCGGGGACTCACTGGTACACGGAGCAGCCCATGCTCTCCGCGCCCACCCAGTGACCCCCCCCCCCCCCCTCCTCCCAACACCTCACCCCTGCAGTGACGGACGGGCGGCGCGGGTGTCGGGACTGACTGGAGGGCACTCAGGCGAAGGATTTTTTTTGGTGCATTTCTAATTTGTGTCGCAGACCCGTGTTTCCACACAGCCTGGAACTCTATGTGACTCAGAACTCATAAACCCCTTGCTGTGAAAGCCTCATCCCTTTTTCGGATTTCCCCCTGGATGATTAATTCAAATCTATCTCAATCATGACCTGCAATGAACCAAGATGGTTGAATTTTTTTTCTATCATCGGCCAGCTTGTAGTGCGGAATAACGAGGCTGACCTCTTCGCCGTCAAAATCCACCTCCGTGTCGGTTGCTGGGGGGGAGTCGGGGTGTGCTGCGTGCGTCTCGGTCTGCGTCACGACGCGACGGGACATCCACCTCTGGACAGATCATCAACATCATCATCGTCAAGATACTTCCTCAGCAAGATCTCCTTTACCTTCTACGGACATGTCGCGATCTAGTCGACCGGTCGTCTTCAATCCGAACTGTTTTCGTGCGTTTTCCTTCTCCCGTTTCTTTGTGAAAGGACGTCCTCGAGGGCGGCTCGCAGCTCCTGAAGCTGTGCGCCTGTGGCTGACGTGCGCTCAAACCTTTACCTCATGTCGAGTGGCTCCGCTGAGACGCGGTCTCAGGGGAGATGCTGGGCGGCTTTGTTTTTGCGGCGTTGACGTGACGCGAGTGATCCAGAAGAAGAAGGAGGCGATGATTCACGTGTTTTCTGCGAGAGGCCCGGCCGCAGTGTCGCCTGATTGGATCGCGTTTTGTGATAAGCAATAGACTCCGTTGCGTTAAGGTGAAAGTGAGTCGCCGCCGTCAGTCGAACTGTGTCACTCTGTTCCTTTGTGTAACTGCGGGCCAGAGGATGACCTCATCCGTCGTACGTTGTGCAGTTTTGTATTCACTTACTTTTTTTGGATGGATGGACGTGCATGCACACACGGTTCGTGTACCCCCACTCCCCGTGCAGCAGCCGCGCTGCCGTCCGACGTGCACTTTGATCACATGCACGTAACCCGTCGGAAAGAAACACAAGCAGCATGCGTCGTTTGCCAAACACAGAGACACACACACACACACACACAAATGTATTCACACACACACACGCACACACAGTAGGGTGATGGAGCCTGCTTTTGTGTGGCCGTGTTGGAGTGCTGGTGTGTCTGGTTGAGAACAGAGTGTTGGACGGAGGTCCGTCCTGGCAGGTGTCTGACTGCTGAAACAGACCTGCGGTGGGATGTCTCCACACAGGCTAGAGAACCACAGATCCACGGTCAGGGGACGGTCTGATCTTTCAGCCCTACTGCTGCAGCTGCTGCTGCCGCTGTGTTAGAAACAGCAGGAACTAAACACCAGCTTCCTCATGCAGGGGCCAAGTGGAAAGGTGTGTGTGTGTGTGTGTGTGTGTGTGTGTGTGTGTGTGTGTGTGTGTGTGTGTGTGTGTGTGTGTGTGTGTGTGTGTGTGTGTGTGTGTGTGTGTGTGTGTGTGTGTGTGTGTGTGTGTGTGTCTGTGTCTGTGCCTGTGTGGGTGTCTTTGGTGTGTGTGTGTGTGTGTGTGTGCATCTTAGGTGTGTGTGTGTGAGTCTACATGTGTGTGTGTGTGTGTGTGTGTTCATGACCGTGCACGTGTGTGATGATGCTCCTCCCATAGCCATATTTGAACCATTTTGTAAGCTCTCTGTTGCACAACCCTCTTAGAATGCCTTCTGTACTGTGCAGGTTTGCATGGTGTGTGTGTGTGTGTGTGTGTGTGTGTGTGTGTGTGTGTGTGTGTGTGTGTGTGTGTGTGTGTGTGTGTGTGTGTGTGTGTGTGTGTGTGTGTGTGTGTGTGTATAACTAAAATGTACTATGTGTGTAAAGATGGAGATAAGTGTTAATGGGGATAATTTTTGAATCATTGATTTGTAAATATGTTTTCGTATGGCAAATGTTTTTTTGATAATGTATTATAAAAAAATCTGTACAAGAGAAGCTGTACATAAGATTGTAGATAACCAAAAGTGTTGACAGTTATATTAATTTATTTGTATAAAAACAGAGCACTGCGATTTCCCTGATTGTAAGAAAATGTAATTTATTCACCAAGTGGTTTGTGTTGTTTCTTGCCGTGCATCATTTTACCATATACTGTTATTTGTTCATTTGTTTTTTATTCTTCTGTGAAACTCTTTTCCTGGCCGCAAGTCAATACTTTCCTCTCCCAGAATACGTCAACCACTACAGTTTTAAAAACCTGCTGAGTTTGTTTTTGTGCCTTTTTTTTGTTTTACTTTGTTGATGTTCTGAGTGGTAGAGATACTGCAGTAGGCATACAGCCACCCTCTGCATCAGCGCCAAACCTCCCATGAGTTGATTTCCTGTCATGTTATTTTGACTATCTCTATATATTGATATATAAAATTTGATTGAAATTTTCTATTTCTGTATGTGTGTAGTTTTTTGTGTTTCTCTTTGGAGTAAGGAATAAGAATGTGTTGAGGGTATATCTGTTATATCTTTTATTTCATAGCCCTGCATATACTATCATTTCTTTTTTTACAATTACATACATGATCGGACAAGCAAATGATATGGTGGGAACCCCTTCAAGGATTTGATGATTCATAAATCAGAACAATATTAATATTAATCTTAGATCGCTCTTCACTAATCACTGGTAGCTACAGAGACAAAAGTCTGGCATAAACCCATGGCCATTATCATTATTACACCTGAAGCTCACTGTTGAGCAGGCGTACGCTCATACCACATTGAGATATGATGTAAGAGTCTATTGATTAGTACAATGGAGCATGTGGATGAAATAGACACGTGTTTCTAGCAGGGGGTTTTGTAGCGATATGTGGCTTGACATAACTGCGCGGGCAGGATCCACTCTTAAAGTTAAATATAAACGATAAATATACATAGCCAAAACAAACCTATGACATATATTCATAGGTTTAACAGTAACATGTAGGCCTGCAAATTGGAAATTTATTTCAATTAAAAGATTGCGTTAATGACAGATGAAAAATAAATCGAATCCCCAGGGGTAAAAAAAAAACAGGTGGCTTTGAATAATAAATGAGACGGATTATAAAAATTATAATAAATAAAAACAATATCCATCTTGTTAAACTTTCCTGAGGGACTTAGGGAAATGAGCCACGCACTCGACAGTAATTGTGTTTGTTTGTTGTTATTGTTTGTTTTTATTGTGTTTTAGTGTCTTTCTGCAGTCGCAACAATACAATGCAGTGAGTGTCGTGGCTATAATTGTTTGTCACACTCGAAAGGGATTACATTTAATCCTCTGGCGAGGCTCATTTTTACCATTTCATCCCGTTGTCCACAAATGTTGAAGACGTGGTTGGAGTGGCTGTAGTGAGTCAGTTGAATTCAGGGAAGCAGCGCCATCTCCTGGACCGTTTTGGTGCTCAGAAATATAATATAATACAAAATAAAATAACCATAACCTTGACCCATACTGGGATAGCTTCACAAGCATACATTTTTACAACTTATTCAAAATGCTGAGCTGAGATGACTTACGGCAGTTGAAATAATGTTTGCGCGTCATTCACCATTTCATGGTCCTGACTTGCTCAAACGGGTCGAGCATGGCGTTAACGTTGCCAGAGTTATGGGTTCGATTCCCACTGGGACCACCCATGCTAAAAATGTGTGCACTCACGGTATTGTAAGACGCTTTGGATAAAATCATCCACCATCAAATGTCGTATAATCATTCATAATTCCCCGTCTGGGATTAATGAAGTAGCCCTACCATCAACAAAACAAAGCAACACATGGAAAAAGCCTTTTTTTTGTCTTTTTCTTCTGTAAACGACTGCAGCCGCGCAGCCAGGCTCTAATTATAACCCATCTCCGTAATGGCTGAACGTGCCACGTTCATCCCATCCACCTAATTACCATCAAGGACCAGCATGTTGTGCATCATGTTAACCACCCAGCGAGAAGACGCAACGCTGGCGAGCGTCGTTGGACGACTGACCGGTGGACCCTGTCCGTCCTGGCGGGAGCTCAGAGCGCGCGTGCCTTAGCGTGGGCTTGCAGCAGAGACGCCGTGTCTCCGTGGGAGCCCTGCACGGCCAGGGTGAGGGCCGTCAGACCACGCTGCAGGAGGAGAGGAGAGGAGGCACACCGTTGTTGGCACCGCTTTAAATCAGCTCATATATATATATATATATATATATATATATATATATATATATTAGTCTACCATAGATGTCTTGGAGGAAGACTGGCCTGCCTATCCTTTAACAACTAACTGTCCGCATGATGAATGGGTGTGAAATGTAAACGTAATAAACAATGGAAGATTAATTGTTTTCAGTCAATATCATGGAATTAAAGTCATCTAGTATAAACTCATTGCAGATGTCAATTTAAGTTGTAACTATGTGTGATTAAAAGGCCTACTACATCAACCGACGTTTGAGATGAATGGATTAAAGGTAATGTGAGGATACAGATGGGCTGTCTAACAGGGAAGGAGCTGGAAGTGAGCGGCTCATGTCCATGTAGTTGCGCTTCGTGGCCACTAGGCGGAATGCATTTCCCAAAGTGAGTTCCTATCGGCTTTATGCTCTCCGAGTATTTATGAGCTCTTTGCCTCTTTCCAATTAGACCACAAAGTCACCTTCATGGTTTTAACACTTCCTTACATCATAGTCTCAAGGAGGCTATGTTACGCTGGCCTTGCTCTTCTATATTTCGGTACACTGGATAAGTGCAGGCTTTTAATGGTTATTCTCTTGGATGGACGAAATTAAATAAAATTGATGGGATAGAAAAAGAACTTCAAATTCACCCAAGTATGGTGCAAATTGCCGGCCTGACGTTGCCAGACCAATTCCCAAATGCATTTTCCAGAGCAAATAAACATTAGCTTGCAGATTTGTCTGGTTCCCAGCCTGCCAAATTGCCTTGTGCGATTAGCATCTGTGTGTGTGTGTGTGTGTGTGTGTGTGTGTGTGTGTGTGTGTGTGTGTGTGTGTGTGTGTGTGTGTGTGTGTGTGTGTGTGTGTGTGTGTGTGTGTGTGTGTGTGTGTGTGTGTGTGTGTGCGCACACATGCATGTGTGAGTGTATGGGTGTTTCTGCATGGACGCATGTGTGTGTGTGTGCGTGTATCTTTGTGTGCCCACACATGCATGTGTGTGTGTGTGTGTGCGCGCACACACATGCATGTATATGTGTGTGTACACATACATGTGTGTGTCAGTGTGTGCACACACGTGCATGCATGTGTGTGCACACGCGTGTCCGCCTGTCTCACCTTATCGGTGAGCGCCAGGTCGCAGCGGCCCCGCTCCAGCAGCAGCCTGGCGATGTGCGTGTGGCCCCGCTCACAGGCGAACATGAGGGCCGTGGTCCCCTGGGCGTCCTGGACGTCCGCCCGGGCCCCGCAGCTCAGCAGCAGCCGCACCATCACCACCCGGCCGTGTCGCACCGCCAGGTGCAGCGCTGTCTGGCCCGTCTGGGGGGGGGTGGGGGGTGAGTCAGGGGGGCCAGGACATTGTATATTTGGACAGGATATTGTATATTTGGACATTGTATATTTGTACACTGTATATTTTGGACAGGACATTGTATATTTTGGACAGGAGATTGTATATTTGGACATTGTATATTTGGACAGGACATTGTATATTTTGGACACTGTATATTTGGACAGGACATTGTATATTTGGACAGGATATTGTATATTTGGACAGGACATTGTATATTTTGGACACTGTATATTTCGACAGGACATTGTATATTTTGGACACTGTATATTTGGACAGGACATTGTATATTTGGACATGACATTGTATATTTGGTAATACCTAACAGCACGACCAAGGCCTTCCGCTGGAACATAAAAGGTAAGGACTGAAGGAAACTACAGTAGATAAACAGTAGGCGAATGATGAGCAGGTGAACTCAAGTTCACATTGATCCAAATTGCTAAAAAAAACACTACTCTTGTCCTTTTAGAGAGATCTGCAAGAATCTTGGCTGAATGGATTTCTCTCCATGGCCTTATTTTCCGGTTTGTATTTATCATACTATTCATTTAAAATCTTTATTAATGAATACTATAACTAGATCTCTAAACATACAGAACATTAAAATACAAAGTAAAAGTAAAAAACAAGGAGAAACATCCCAGTAATAAACGACAAGGGACAAAATACAGAGTCACAGGCATGACAACAGATTGAAAGGTCAGTGGGCCAAAAATCCCTAGCACTACTCATGTAACCCCACGGCGTCACTTTTCATCTAAAACACGTCTTTATTGTTCGGTTCTCCTTTAAACATGGCTGTGTGGTGTGGTACCTGCGTGGATGATATGTTGACGTCTCCCAGCTCCATCAGTCTGCGCACCACCTCCATGCCGCCGGGGCCGTCGGGGGCCGTCAGTGAGGCCAGCATCACCGCTGTGTAGCCCGCCTTGTTCTGGAGGTCCACATCGCTCACGCCTGGAGGGCGTGGGAGAACCGGGTCAACAACACACACGCAGGGACTGTCTGCTAACCAGTGATTCTTTAGTACCGTCCTCTTCCATTCTGATGTCAGTGTTTTATTCTTCGGATTGGATGGTCGTTGGTGGAGTTTGATTCTTAATCGGTGTTGTAGCCCTGAATGCTCATAGTTCAGAGTATAACCTGAAAGATTCTCAGGTTGAAGGTCACTTTCTGGTTTCTTTTTGTTTCACGATATTTGATTCAATGCGACAGGGAGCTATGCTATTGAAAAGTAGAAAATGTGTCCATATTTACAGTGATTGACAGGTACTTGTGTCCAAAAGCAGGATGACAATGGTGTAGTTTCAGTGACTGACATGTTCCTGTGTCCAATAGCACATTAATTGTACTGTAGGCAGAGTGATTGACAGGTACCTGTGTCCAATAGTAGACTGTGGTAACAGTGATTGACGACAGGTACCTGTGTCTAATATCAGGCTGTAGTTACAGTGATTGACACCTGTATCCAAGCAGACTGCAGTAACAGTGAGTGACAGGTACCTGTGTCCAATAGCAGGCTGACGATGCTGTAGTTGCAGTGGGACAGGCTGTAATGCAGAGCTGTGTTTCCGTTGTCGTCGGCCAGGTTGACGAGGAAGGCCAGCAGGGGCGGCGTGGTCTTTTTCACCTCGCCCAGATAGAGAGACACGCTATTGGCCGCTGCGTTCTCCTCCGCCGCAACGCTGAACCAATGGTGGAACAGCACGACCAAGGCCTTCCGCTGGAACATAAAAGGTAAGCACTGAAGGAAACTACAGTAGATAAACAGTAGGCGAATGATGAGCAGGTGAACTCAAGTTCACATTGATCCAAATTGCTACAAAAACACTACTCTTGTCCTTTTAGAGAGAACTGCATGAATCTTGGCTGAATGGATTTCTCTCCATGGCCATATTTTCCGGTTTGTATTTATCATACTATTCATTCAAAATCCTTATTAATGAATACTATATCTAACTAGATGGACAGAGATGAATGTCCTTCAATTTTCTCGACAACCGTTCATCCGACACCACCAGAGAGTGATTAGAAATTGGCCTTGCTGGCATGTTCTGGTATTAAATTAACTTTATTTTGTTTACATGTATGAAGGGGAATCAAGTCTACAGTATTCAGAACCACAATCGGTCGTAATCAGCCTTATTGGCAAAACATGCTTGACATGCAAGGAATTTGTCTAAAAATATGGAAATACAGTAAGTAATATGAAAGCAATACAAAGGACAGTTAAAACCTTAAAGGAATACAGAAATAAGTACCTACCATGTCGTTATTGGGATTATCCATGTTCTCCATGTGGTCTTTGAGAAATTGACAAGCGGCCATAAACTCCTCGCTCACAGCCTCACTAAAAGGGTGTGTGCGTGATAGAGAGAGAGAGACAGAGACAGAGACAGACATATTCTTTACAAAGTGTACACATTTTGTTTAAAAAACAACCTATAAATGGGTTAACTATGAATTGACAATTGTATTTTATCTCTGGGGAGGCATTTGTTGAAACAACATTTTTGTTGTTGTGGTGGTGGTCACCCTTCCGTTGTGGTCCACCTACCTCCCCCTGGTGGTGGATACAGAGCCAGAGTCCATGTCCATCTGGTCCCCCTGGGGCGATGACTCCATCTGCTCCTGCCTTCCCAGAACCACCACCCCTGCACCTCTGTCTGCCCCACCGGAGGCCTCTGTACCCGAGACGGAGGCCCGGTCTGGGCCTGTGTCTGGGTACCTCCCGCTCTCCCCCCTGCTGTCCTCTGAGGCCTGGGTGTACATCTGGGTGTGCACCTGGGCAATGGGCATCTCCTCTGGGACGTTCTGTCCATCCTTACGCTCTGAAGAGTCCACTTGGTTGAGATGGTTGTTTGTCTCTGAACATCTAAGCAGAGGATGAAATAGAGGCGATGAAGAGGAAAGATAGAGGAGTAGGAGGATAAGGCAAATCTAGATGAGCTAGATTAAAAGAGTGAGGCTGCCAAATATCAAGCCTGTCAACCTGACAAGTCCAGTACATTTATTACATGTCTCTGAATAAATTGGAAGCAGGAAGCTGATATTAAGGACATGCTCGAATCCATATTTAGTTTGAGACGGAGAAAAACACCTAAAAATAGGTGATGTTTTATGGATAATTATA